TGTATATTTGTAAAAATAGTAAAATAAAATATTTTGGAATATAATATTATATATATATATATATAAATATTCGGTTATATATATATCATATATATGTGCCGATTAATATATATATATTATATTGAATATTTTATTTTGGTTTGTCATTTTAATTATGAAAATAATTAATTTGACATAAACTATTTAAAGTATATTTGTATACTTGTTTAAAACGATGTTGGTATTTTTATTTGATTTAAAAATTAATTTTATATTAATTTTTGGTGTCAAATAAAATACACTTTGAACATTTAAGTGGAGAAGAATTTTGAAAATCCTTCTCACAATCACAATCATATTTCTTTCGGCCATGTGATGTTAATGGGGACAAAATTGTTTTGACTTTGCATTTTAAAGATGTAGGAAATTTCCTAATTTGTCATTAAGTGTATGATTGGTTTTTAAAATCCTCTTTAAATAATTATACACTATGTTCATTGTTAAGGAGTGAAGGTGATTCGGCCATACTATTTTCAAGAGAGAAAATTATTAGTTTGGTTCCATTAGTATCATTTTGTGTATAGAAAACATTTATAATATTTTCTAAATATTATTAGAAATATTTTCTATTGAAATATACAAGATTATTATTATCCCAATTTTAATCTTTATATTTTATACTACTATAATCTTTACTAGCATAAAGATTGTGGTAGACTCCGGCGTTGTTCGTGTGTCAAAGTTAGAGACCGGACGCTTGAACGGTTACGTTTGCACTTTCAACGCTCTTCCTACGACCTCTTCGTTTTTACTGCTTACGGAGAAATGTATAAATTTCTTACTCACTATAAGTTTTAGTACGTGATTCTGGGCAAGATAATCATGTTAGGATGTTAAAAATTTTATATTCCGCTGCCTATCCTTGCATGGTTACCTTTCAGTGGTATCAGAGCCAACGTACAAAACTATAGTTTTACAAAACCATGTTCCTATCTAAATAGTTAGTCTGCGGACAGAGCCCTAGCCAAATGCACATCTAATGAAATACGGATCTTGGCCCGCTAAGAGATTCTCCAGGAGAATCTCCAAATCAATATTGAGGGTTATTGATTTTTCCTAAATAGTGGCAAATGATAAATTAAAGGCCTAATTAATTATTGAATATGATAGATGACCTATTTTGCAGTTTTCTGTAGATGCCAACCAACAACAACAACCATACCTTTAACCTGCGCTATATCCTGGAAAACAAGAAGTTATTCGGGACCAACTTTCTTGACTGGGAGATGAACCTCCAAATCATTCTTGACTGTAATCGTCTTAGGCCAAATTCATAATAATAGCTGAGTTCTTAAACTGTAATAGTCTAATGCAATATTTCTAGCCAGCCTCTTAAACTCTATATATTAGTTTAAGGCAGAACACAAGAATCGATGATCCATCCTACGTGTCTTTGGATTATGCTCAAACTGAACAACGGACTAGTGGGTATATAAAGATCACTATGAAAAGAGTTTAATGGTATGCAATTCTGTGATGACATTCCACTTAATAGATTTTAAAATAGTTTCTTGATAGAGGAGTTGAACTATGACAAAAAAAATTGTCACCTAATCTTAAACATTATATACCTACAATGAATGAAGACTAGATGAAGATATACGATTATGAACGCTGTATGTTTTTTTATGGCTATAAACAAACGTCAAGGTCAAATATTGATATTTGTTGGATTATTTTAACTAATTTAGTTGAAGTTCACTCATAATCAACTTTATGTTGATATTCACGAGTAAAATCAAAGAGTTAAAAATATTAGTTCTAAATGATAGTGAAATCTAGCGACCACACAAAAAATGTTGTATTCTCCGAATGGTTTAAAAAAAGTATGAATTTAAAAAAGACTTTAAGATGTTTGCTTTTGAATTTATATATGAGCATTTTCGTTACCAAATAGTAAATGCTAAATTATTTATTTTACTTTGGTTTTAATATCTATAAAGAACACATTATTTATACTTTCATAAACTCATTTAAAAATATTACATTGAATATAACTGAAAGAATCAACAAAAATTTCATTCGATCCCATGCATAGCACGAGTTAAAATACTAGTCTAATTATGGAGGTAAGTTTTTTTGCCAAATTAGTTTTTGGTAAATTTTAAACTTTCCTCCAATTACAATATCATGTTCTTATACAAATTCTATAAATAGGAAATCATTTGTTCATTCAGTACACATTTAAAGCATGTTCTTCTTCACCCTCTTCTTGACCTCCTCCTCACCATGTTCATAATACTCCCTTTTGTCCTTCATTCTTCTATCCGTACTCATGGACTCCCACCATCATCACCATCTTTCTCAACAGCATCTTCTTTGTCTTCATATTCTTCATTTCCATGCAGTACGAACCTGCCACCACTAGTCCAGGTTCCACTCCTCAATCTTGAGAGTCCTGCATTAGAACAAGAAACAAGTAGTTTGCGGGAAAATGGTGATAAAGAACGTAATCGTATACGTAAAAGAGTAATTGAAAAGTTATTTCAATTCTGCACAAATGGAAAACTTAAGTGGGGTTGCATGAAAGCAGTTGCTGCGGAATTCAACATCTCAACCAAAACATTTGAAAACATATGAACTATAGCTAAGACTCAAATGCAGGAAGGTCTACCTGTGGATGTTCAGTGCCAGTGGATAGGGAAATCTAGTAGAAAAAAGATTTATTGTCGACATTGAAAAAATGTTAGCAGTACCTTTTCACAGGAGGAAGAACATGCATGCCTTAGCCTATGCAATGGATGTCTCAAAATCAATTGTCCATAGGTGGCTAAAGGGCAAGGACCTAAGAACACATTCAAATGTCATCAAGCCTTTTTTTGTGAAAAAGGTAAGCTCAAAAGACTAAAATACTATTGGGATCATATTACTGCCCCATTAATTCCCATGAAACCCACATTTCATCAACTGTATGACTACATTCATATTGATGAAAAATGGTTTAATATCACAAAGGATAAGACAATATTTTATGCACTACTAGATGAACCACGCCCATGCAGAACTGCTCAATCAAAGAGTCACATACCAAAAATCATGTTCCTAGCAGCAGCTAGTAATTCTATGTTTGGGAATGATGGGGCAGTGCTCTGGGACAGGAAAATAAGTATATTCCCATTCACATATGAAGCTGAGGCCAAAAGGTCTAGTAAAAATAGGTCAGCAGGTACATTGGAGGTCAAGGCAACCACTATCGCTAATAGAGATGAAATGAAAAAATCATGGTGTGTAAGTTACTTCCAGCCATCAAAGAAAAATAGCCTGGTCCAACAAAAGATGTAATGATATAGCAAGACAATGCTGAACCACATGTGGATGTGAATGACCCTGAGTCTGTACAAGCTACATAGGAGGGCAATTGTAACATTAAGCTTCAATTCCAGCCTCCTAATAGCCCAGACATTAATGTTTTGGATTTGGGATATTTTTGGTCAATTGATACAATTCAAGACCATGTAGCCGCTTGGAAGTAAGAAGAATTCATCAATGTTATTACCATATCCTTTGAAGACCTCACCCCTGAAAAGTTAAACAATGCTTTCTTTACATGTCAATGTGTTATGGGTAGGGGTGTTCATTTGGTAAAACCGTACCGAACCAAAATTTTGGTAAAATTATATTTGTACCGAGTACTGAACCGTAATAAATTGGTTCAGTATGGTTAATACCGAAATTATTTCGGTTTGGTATTCGGTAATACCGAAAAACCCAAAAATTTCAATTTATTTTCATTTATACTTCACTTTTTTATTTTCAATTTGTACCACTAGCAATATCATTCAACATTTAAAGAAATTAGAAATACTTAATATTTTTTAGCTATAGTTAGTCATAAATTACTTAGTTTTTCATATTATTAAAAGATTATCGAAGCACATGATTTTGATCCTGTAAAAAAAGAAATCAAAAACTCAAAATACAAAAAGTATTCTATCAAAATGTTTAAAGAATCTTACCTTTAGCCATCTGTAATTTATTGCCCTACGAAGTGACGTCAATGTATTGATCATTTAGAATAAGTGAAACAAAAAATTGAAGAAGAAAGAGTCAAATAGTAAGCATGAGAAAATTTAGCTAGATAGGGAGTATTTTTTTAGAATTTAAAATTGTGTATAAAAGGAAGGATAAGATAAGGTAGACCACTATACGAGTTGCTAGGACTCAAGGTTATAATTCAAACTTCAAAATATTTAAAATAATAAAATGGAGTAATAATTTGGTATTCGGTAAAAACCGAATTACCGAATTATTAAGCCAAACCAAACCGAAAACCGAATTTTAGCAAAAAGAAAAACCGAATACCGAACCAAATTATTCGGTTTGGTTTCGGTATGTACCGAATTTTCAGTTTCAGTACAGTTCGGTCGGTTTACCTAGATCTATTCTTCGCAAAAAGAAGATTAGATCTAGGAGAATATCTTTAGATCCAGAGAGACGAAAGATGTCTCTAGAAATTAGATCTAGAGAAGAGGAAGAACTTAGATCTAGAGAGAGATGAAGTAGGCAATGAGAACCGGTGAAATGAAAAGGTGGAGTGTCAGAGGCGTGTAGTTGGGTATGATGGAGTAGGGTTTGGGTGGAGGGGCAAAAAAGACATTTTGGAGGAAATAAAAAAAGTTTTTATGGACGGATAAAAAATGAAAGAAGAAATATTTTTCAGGGACAGATAAAAAAAGAGAGAAGAAATATTTTTCAGGGACGGAGGGAGTAGCAAATGAAAATGTAAACAGAATTGATTAGTTTTACATTTAAGTAGTAACAGTTCGGATCGTAATTTTCAGATCCCATTTTTCAAAGAACCTATCCGCACCATTTTGAAAATAGTTCAGTTCGGTTCGTGATAAACTTCGTTAGAATCATTTGAAACCCCATTTTTTGTTTGATAGAACGTCGTTCGTACGGTTCAGAACAATGTCGGGTCGGTGTTTTTGCCCACCCCTACTCGGCTACTCCCATATATCTTTGTCTCTCTTCAAACACCTTAATGAATTTCTTTTCGGGGCCATCATCCACACTCATTTGATGGGAGATTTATTTGGCGAGAGAGAGAGAGAGAGAGAGAGAGAGAGATCCAATGAAACATAGGAGTTGGCCTTAAGCCGTGTTTGGCAAAGTAGGCCGTTGTACCGAAGAAGAAAACCTAAATATAGAAAAGAAAAAGAAAGAACGCAGTGGTGAGGTTTGAGACTGTTGGCACAAAAACATATTGCATCTTAAAACTGTACATTTCTGGAAATAAGAATCCCCTCTTTTGCCTCTACAGATAAATGGGGCGATCAAACCACTTAAAATAAATGAATACCCCATCCTTCTTTAAATAAATAGAAAAAGAAATAGTGTATGAAGTTTTAATTTTCATTTCTTTCTTGGTTTGTTTCAAAATCAAATTTATAATGTTTTGAAAAAAAAGTATTAAATTATTCATTATTTCTTTTCTTCACTACATAAATTTTAATTACAAAATTCTACTTTATTGGGTTGAAATTTTCTGAAATAACTTTAGTTGAGTGTAACTCGGAATTCATTGTTACTCTAAGGGCTTGTTTGGTGAAAAACTCAGATATGGGTTTTGATATCTTAGATATCAAATTCCAAAAAAATTATTTGGTGAGGATAAAATGAGATATAATTAATATCTCCATATACGCCCAGTGGCGGAGCCAGGTATTGGGGAGAGTGGGATCAAAGTATAAATAAAAAAATTATAAAGGAATAGTTTATCAAAAATTTATCATACAAGGAGGGGGGAGGGGTTCGAACTCAGGGTCTAATCAAATCAGCTAAGCCAAATATTAAGTAAACTACTATATATGTATAAACTTATCCAATTTCAGTGGGTGCAACTGCAGTCATTTGACCCAATGTGGCTCCGCCACTGTATACGCCCCATATTTGGAAAAGTGCCGCAACTCCATATCAGCCTATGTTTTCGATTTCAAATCGATCGACTTATCAAATACATACCCAGTTTGCAATCAGTGTTAGATGTTAGTATTAGCGTTTTGAAAAGACTATCCGATCGGCTCCGTTTGCCATCAGCATTAAAGATTAGCGTTATTGTTTTTAAAAAAACTATCTAATGGTAGCCTTTAGCGTCAGGAGTTTCAAGTTTAATCTACGTCATTAAAATTTTATCCAAAACGCTAACGCTAATAAAAAACGTTATTCCCAAATAAGACCACTATCTCCTTATATTCAACATTTTTTAGCGCCCCTTATATTCAACATTATTCATATAAACATTATAATTCGCCTCCTTGAAGTTAGCCTCATTTTCCATTTATCTGCCTATTTTTGTTTGTGGTCTTTTTTTTACTATCTTTCTATTTAAAAAAGAATGTGATCTAACCTTTTTTTTCTAATTGTGATTTGATTTTTTAAATTTGATTTTGATAAGATAAATTTAATAAATTGTTCTAATACAATAAACTGTACCAATAAATAAAATAAGAATAAAAGTTCCATTAAAAAGAATTAAATAAGTTTAAATCGATATTTTAAATAAAACACATTTTAGCTTATATATAACAAAATATTATCTACACTTAAATCAATATTATTACTCTCTTAATATCTCTATTTATGTATAAATATAAAAAATAAAATTATGCTATTTTAAAACTACTTTTCAAAATGAATCTACCGATATTATATTTATATCACAATCTAATACGGAGTATATTTTTTCCCGTAACTTAAGATAAAAGTTTTAAAATATTGACTACAAAAGTCAAACCGGGAAGAAAGAGGGAGGAGTAATTAGTATGGCCGACAAGATTATGCTTTTCCAAGGATGGAATGCAATGCAATGCCAAAGTTTGTGAGGAAGTTGATTGGTCCTCATTTCTTCTTGGTGGTACAATTATGTTTTTGAATGTCTGGTCCATCTTATTTTTTTAAGCCATTCTAGGGTACACCAAAATGACGTACTACATTTGTACAACATGCAAACACAGACATTTAGTGTCTGTGATAATGGACACTAAATTTTTGTGTTTGCCTGATATACAAATGTGGTATCCCATTTTAGTGTACCCTTAGGTTTATTCTATTTTTCAAGAATGAGAACGTTGCTCTTCCAGCAAACAAATAACTCTCCAAACTCGGGGTATGGACGGTATGGTATGTTTCAGTTTAATTCCTGATGTTTTTTAAAAGAAATTTCAAGAACGGATCGATACATACACATTCTTATTCCAGACTGATTGATAATTACATGAGACAAATTAAACTTCAATTTCAATTCTCAAACTCAAATCTATCAAACTCAACTCGCTTGTTTGGGAAAAAAAATACATACTTCATAACATTACACACACACAAAAAAAACCTACATCCACAACAATTCAACATTTATATTAGCACACGCTACAGTTTTGAAGTTTTAAACCGACAAATTGTAAAACTCTCTTGAATAGTTTTAAAAACTCTCAAATAATCATAAAACACGCACACGCATAAGAGCATGTACAGTGGCAAGGAAGAGAAATGTCTTGCAGAGCCACATCAACTTCTTCCTCTCATATCATGGCATGACAAGGACAAAATACCTTGCTTGGTGAGGCATGGGTGTGGCACTCCACCATTCTTTTTTTCTTTTTTATATTTTTTTTAAAAATTTTTTTATGAAAAAAATGTAAAAAATGTATAAGAGAGTAGAATAATTTTTGATAAAATAAATAATAAAAATATTTTTTATGGGTAAAAAACATTAAAAAGATGTAAAAAGTGATAAAAATAATGACTTGCCCCTCTAGAGATTGCCACTCCACTGACTTGCCACACGCTAACTGGACTATTTTTGATTGGTTAAAATGTTGCACGTCATCGTGTGACATTCCATGTTTGCCTCGCCATTGTGCATGCTCTAAATTTAAAGCACACTCTCATTTAAAATTACTCTATAAAATTGGTGTTGAGCTTTCTCTCTCAAGTCTCAACACACGAAATTAAAGGATACAATAATTTTGGGTTTTTCTTCTTCAATCTTTGTTTTGTCGCAAATTTTGACTACTATTTTCCTTATTTTGCTTAGTAAATAAGATAAAAACGTGGGACCTTGTTTGCACCAAAAAATTTTGACTCCAAAGTCAACTAAACTTGCACCCCACAATTAACGTAGTTGGAGGATGAGTTGGGGTCGGAACTTGATGGGGGAATTTACCAAGGAGTTAAGGAGAATAGGAACCATCAATTCTGCGAACAGAGCACCATATCCCAAATGGGTGAGTGGCTTCCGTATCCACTCGAATGGTTGTAGACTTGTAGAACCCAGTTGAATGAAATTTGGTATTTTCAATTTAAATCTTGATTAGAATAAAATGAAGTTCATTCAATTTAATTGAACACATCAACTTCAAAAAATCAGTACACTAAACCTAATGTGTAAGGGACGAGGCTTATACGGTGCAGAATAAAATTCGCAATGTATTTGGCTCCTTCTAAATTTTATAAAGAGCCAAATTATGTTTATTTACCTTTACAATAACCTAAACAACCAAATGTATTAGGTTGGATGATGTTTGTTTTTTTTTTAATTTTGATGCTCATGATTATTGTAACCAAGTAATGTGTAAAGGAAAATAAAGTTTACTACTACAAAGTGGGTATTATTTCGAAATAATAGTTTGTGAGTGATTGTGTCATAATACTAATGCCTCCAACAAAAGATACAACAACAACAACCCAGTTAAATCCCACAAGAGTAGGGTCTAGGGAGGGTGTGTGTACGCAGACCTTACCCCTACTCGAAAGTACAGAGGCTGTTTCCAAAGAGACCCCCGACTCAACGTTGAAAGTTGCATTGCTTGACTAACTGCTACTTCATTAATTAAAGAAGCGCGGACAGTTTAGAGATCCATTTTGATTTATTCCATCACATTCCAAAGCCAAAATATGGTGAAATTTTGCCTCCAACAAAAGATAAATATACTAATTTGTATATGACTTAATTTTTTGTGATCATGTGACATAAATGTGACTCTTCCAAATAGAAAATAGAGTTAATGGTAAAAAAAATAATACATCTGAAAAGACAAGGTAAGTATAATGTATCTACACTTGAGTATCGAAACATGCTCTAAGGGCCCATTCTATAATTACTTTTTCCGTCCCAAAATAAACGTCGTGCTTTCTTTATTTGGATATCCCAAAATAAATGTCACTTTCCATTTAAAGAAAAAAAGAATATTTCACATTACTTCTCGTTTCACTTTTTTTGAACTCTATGAAAGTTAAAGAGAACATTTATTTCAGAACGGAGGGAGTATAAAGTAACTACACTTGAGTATCCGAACATGCTCTAAGGGCCGATTTGTAAGTTTTAAAAGACTTATGATAAGAGTTCGGAAAAAATTATATAGCATCAAAAATAAGAAAAAATGATTGTTTTTGGAGAGATCTTAAATGGGAGGGCGGGAATGGGTGACCAACGGCACTGGGGTGGGTTGCCACAGGCGATTGAAGAAGATATCAAAACCCCAGACCGGTACTTCCAAATCCGGGAAATTTTCAAAACAACCCCACTGCCCTCACCAAACAGCTCCTAAATAGGTTTGTCATTTTGCCAGTTGCCTTCAGGCCAGCTTAATAACCTCTTATCCAACCCTTGGGAGCCATTCAGTTTCATTGTAAAATGGTCAGTTAGATTTCAGTATTATCTTTGTGGCCAACTTGGAGTGAGGTAATACCACATCTTTTAACTAAGCTCTGGCATAGAGTATGAGATAATAGAGTTTGAGAATTAGAGAGTAGGGTTTTAGAGGGTGGGAGACTTAAAATAGACATTATAGAGACCCAAAATGACTTCAATTGAAGATATATAAATACCCATCAAAACTCTGAAACTTATAGAATGCAACAAAACAGTGCAAATTTTTAAAAAAAGGGATTTGAATAGATGACCTCAAAAAGAAGATTTCAGTGCTCCAAAACTTTGATCTTCTCGAGACAATTCGTCATGAGCTGCTCAGCATCTCCATTGATCTGGCTTCCAACCCGCAACTTGTAGTGCTCAAACTTTGACATTTCACACTTCAAAGCAGCCTCTTTGCAGGCTTCAAGACTTCCTGTTTGATTAAATGTAGAGGGCAGAGGATGTTATATTCTACAATCAAAGGGTTGAGAGTGCAAATCAGAGTTGTTGAGATTACCACTCAGGTCAAGTAAGTTGAAAACCACGGGGCAGTTGCCGATGCTTCTAATCATGGTAACTGCAGCCCAAACATTTTTATAATCTTCTCTTGATGCTCTAATTATGCAAACTTTTGTAATAGGATTTACATACTTCACTGCACCAAAAAATCCAAAACTATGATGTTTTCAGATAATAAAATTAATGTGTGGTTCTTTTGACACCGATTTGGGGGGGAGTGGGGGTGGGGGGAGGGGAATGCGGTGATCCGTTGGGACAGGGGCCGGGGGATGGATCAGGGTAGGGGTGAGGGTGTTGGTCGCTGGGGTGAGGGGGAGTTCAGAATCGGGGAGGGTAGGACCCCCAAATGCCGTCGGTGTCATATTATGACACTGAAACCCATGTCAAAATAACCATGGTGATAAAATTATCCACAACCAGAAATATTTGGATCAACCCAGACCAAAAGTTTACATTCAGACCAGAAAATAAAGATTGGCCCAGATCAATCAGTAGTTCAAAACAGATCCTAAAAAACTAAAGTCGAATGACATTTTTCAAATGAAGCTTTGGGTTGAAGAGAACACGTCCTAGGTTACAAAGTGTCCAATCCAATACTTGAATATAACATAAAACAGAGAACAATCAAATTTTATGGTAAAACAAAATTTATAATCGTAAGTGCAGAGTGCAAACCATCCTTGTGTCTTACCATGTAATGAGTTGAGTGATGAGGCTAGACCACAGTCTCCAAAGTTTGCGAGCATGCTATCTTTGATAGATTTCATCAAATTGAATTGTGTAATTATGATGGGGTCATTTACCATAATATCCTTATTTGGATCCAGAAAGACTTCCATCACCATGTATCTATTCTTGAACCTCACCATGCTGAATTGGAAACCCTATGCACTATAAATAATGAATGAGAATAGTGGACGTAGTGAAACTGCAGTGTGTAGCAAACTGATAGAACTCCAGATAGGCAGGGAGAATTGATGAAATAAAACGTTTATCAAATTACTAAATAAGGACCTAATTCCATAAAATAATAAAGACAAAGGAAAACATGTATCACAATATGAGTAAGAATCTTAAACTCATATGATATCCAATGATAAGTAATAAATTAATTTCTGGATGCCTTCTAGAGGTAATGAGCATCAATATTTATAAAAGCCAAACAATAATTACCAATCCCTAGATTTAGGCCAACTAACACATTACTTACTGCTTAGGGGCCATTCAATAGAGTGTAAATGCATTGCAGTAAATGGTACTGAACTTTACTTAACTCACAAATATTGAACTAAATTGAACTTAAAGATACTTGACTAAATTGAGCTTGGCTTATAGGCACTGAATAGAATAAAACTTATCAATATTGAATTACATTCTAATAATAGTAATAACAACCACTACAACAAGAGCAATCATGTTGAGTAGTATACAATAAAAATCCCTAGCCCTATGAATAAACAAGATTCTTATTTTGTATTTCTGCTCATTTACGCTCATCTATTGTCATCTTTGTGCTCTTCTTGTTGTTATAAATTATAACTAATATCTTTATAATTTTGTTGTTGTTGACTTATAAAACTTGTAGGGATATTGAAGATTATTTCCAATACAAGTAGTAAACAATGATATATTATCTTAAACATTGCAAATTGTGTATGAAATGATCTGAATACCAACCAAAAACAATGATGATGATTTTGATCATGATAATGATAATAACAATAAAACAAATCTGAATACAAAAAAATTAATAGTAAAAAAATAAATCGTAGTAGTAAATATTATTATGAGTAAATTCCATAAAAGGTCCCCAGTTATAGGTCGTTTTACATATTTAGTCCCTACATATCAAATATTACTAATTTAGTCCCCAATTATTATATTTATTTCCACAAATGGTCTTTTGTTAACATTTCCGTTAAGAACGTGGATAAAATTATAAATTTACACTTCTTTCTCTCCTCAATTACGCTTCCTCCCTCCCCTCGCACTCATATCTCAAACCCGTCGCTGAGTTTGAAACTTTGAACCCAAAACCAAAATCATCACTCGTCTCTCCATTGTTTGTCTAACTGGTGGAACCCAAATTTGAAACCAGTAACCTTCATGGATGAGTTTTAATGTTTATTTTCTTTGCAATTTCTTGAGACTAACTGATAAAACTCATCCATAAAGCTTATTGGTTTTGATTTTAGGTTCCACCAAGAAGACTAATAATTGAGAGAGGAATGATCATTTCAATTTTGGGTTTAGAGCTTCAAACTCAGAGACGGGTTTGGGAAAGAGTACGAGAGGAGGGAGGAAGCTTAATTGAGGAGAGAGAGAAGTATGAATATACAATTTTATCCATGTTTTTAACAAAAACGTTAACAAAGGACTATTCGTGAAAAATGATATAATAATTGGGGACTAAATTAGTAATATTTGATATGTAGGGACTAAATATGTAAAACGACTTATAACTGGGAACCTTTTATGGAATTTACTCTATTATTATTATATTAAGATTAATATCAATTTATACTGATCTGAACAATGCTGACATTAAAAGGTATTGAACAGCCCCTTAGTAACTAATAATATTAAAATAAAACATTTGACAACATAAACAAATGACCCAAACTGACTCAACTAAATAAATACTAATGTTAAGAACAAAAGCACACACACACGAATAGAAAGCATGAAAGCAATAAAGAATGCAAGAGATTTAACGTAGTTCGTTCTAATCTGACCTACATCCACAGGGGCAACTAGGGTTTGTATTATTGAGTGATAATGATTACTAGTACATGAGATCATATATATAGACAACTAATTAGGGTTTAACCCTTGCTGAACAAGTTATAGCAAATTGGGCTTAAAACCATTTGGGCTAGCCGAAACCCTAATCTGGTCTCCTAATTCTCAGTTGTCTACAAGTGGGCCACTTTGGGCCGATGACTACACATCACCAACAACTAATAATGTAAAATCAAACTACTTAGAGTCTTTCACATGACTGTGTATTGGGTACTCTATCACAAACACAAGTGTCTAAATATACATGACACTTACACCGTATCACTTTAATGCCTCTATGTTTTTTTTCAAGTAGGTTCTCATTTATAGATCTACTTGGTACTGTATTACTCCCTCCGTCCATGTATGATTTTCCCATTACGCGTTACGAAGCTTGACCGACTGTATTTTCAATTCAATTTAATTGATTATAGGAGTAAAATTTTAAAATAAATTTATATAGTAATAAACTACATGAAAAGTTCTACAAAACTAGAGGTAACAAGAATATATTATTTTATGAAATGACAAGTAAAATTGAGTAAACAAAGTGAGTAAAGTTTGACCCTGTGAATAGTGACTGGGAAGATCTATGGTGGACAGGGGGAGTATTTATTAACCGTAAACAAATATTATTGAAAATCCAACAACAACAACAACAACAACCCAAACTAGGTAAGATCCCACATAAAGTAGGGTCTCGGAAAGTTGTGTGCACATAGACTTTATCCTTACTTAGTGTTGGTGATTCTAGTGTCATAAGCTACTTTGGGTAATATGATTTCCTAAAAACCAGACGAGAATTTAAACAAACGTTGATAACAAGTTTGGAGGTGTGGAGTACAAGCTCGTTCAACGTATTACAAATTCCTTAGGGGGGATAGTATTTGAATACCACGGAGTATAAAATTAGTATTCCAATATTGTTTCAACTTCCAGCAACTTTTACGAAAGTGTCTAGTGTTTGAATACTAATACTAGTATTTGAATGTTTAAAGACTTCCAGAATCAACTCCGAAGTTTGGACGCCTTAGTATCAAGGTTATCTCGGCGTCAAGTCGAGTCGGTCACGAGGAGACTAGTGGACTAGTCGACTAGTCAGCCTACTAGTCGTAGAACAAACCATGATAAGAAATAAAATTTTGAGTAAATTCCATAAATGATCCCCAATTACAAGTGGTTTTCTATATTAAGTCCCCAATTATAAGATATTCCATAAACGGTCCTCAATTTTTGAAAACTATTCCTTAATTGATCTTCCAGGTGTGGAAAAAATATTTTGGTGATATTTGGTGAAAAGGACTATTTGTGAAATAGTTTTTAAAAATTGAAGACTGTTTATGATATATTTTATAATTGGAGACTAAATATAGAAAAGTACCTATAATTGGGGACCATTTATGGAATTTACTCTAAAATTTTTAAAACTAAAGACATCATCCGTCTCATTGTTTTCGTCCATTTTTCTTTTTTTAGTTGTCCCACTGTTTTTGTCCACTTTATGTTCATGGTAAGTTATTTAACTTCAAATGACCAATTTGCCCCTTTATCAAAACCCATTACTTGCCGGCGATGGTCACCGAATTCATCTCCCACCGGCCACCGAGTATTCTTTCCTGCCCACTAAATTCACCTTCCGATTACACCACTTTTGCGGCAAAAAAAAAACAAAATCACAGCTGCAACAGGAACTTTTACGGTTGATTTCCACAATTTTCTAAAATATCCAAAGCCAATAATCGTAGTAAATTTTTTTTTCCCGTCGTTGCTTCTATAATCAACAATCAGGTATCCAAAACTCAGTTTGCTGTTGTTGCATCTCGACCACTGCTGTAGTGCTGTGAAATGGTTAGATCTGCCACCTTTGTTTATCAGATCGTTAGAGACGAGTCTGCCGCTGTGGCTTCATGATCTTTGGTGTTGGTGCTCACATGCTAGAGACAGATTCACCACCTTTGCTTTTCGATCGCCTCCGTTACTTCTTAATCACTACTGTCACTACTCGATCTCTGATGCCCCCCCAAACTCTCGCCCATTTTTTCGGATAATACTCAGTTAGATGTATTCCTAGATCCTTCTTTAGCCACCGTAGGCTAAAGGGCATTTTTGTAGCTTTTGACCCCTCCTTGGTTTAAGACCCAAAATGAATGTGGACGAAAACACCAGGAGGGAGGGTGTATATCACCATTCACCAAAGATAACCATATACTCCGTACAAATATATAAGATGAAATATCATTACCATATCAAATTTATATTTGAAGGTAGCTCATAAACAAACCGACAAGGTATACGACTATACGTAAGAAAAAATATCCTTCAATGTTAAGAAACAATGTGTTGCGATGGAGTTTAGATGGAATTAGCACTGAGCAGGTTTTTTTGAGGGAGCTTTGGTTGCTTTTAAAAAATTCATGAAATCTAGATCGGATCGGATCGGGTAAAATCAGGTAGGGTTGCAAATGCCGACTAATCAGTGACTAGGCATCACCTAATAGATGACTTAACAAGAATGCTCAGTACTCGAATACTACAAGGTTGTATTTCCATGTTTAAGGACTTCAAGCATGAAGCATCAACTCTGATGTCTGAACGCCTTAGTAGTCGAATACTACAAGGTAGTGTTTGAATACTACCTGGACAATTATGTTGGTTCTTATAACAAGGTAGTATTTGAATACCACACGAAGCATCAATTCTGGTGTGGTTGATTAAATGCACAATTTTGGCACACCGCACATAGCATAGTAGCATTGCTTTAGTGTGCAGCATCATATTCAATTGTGTGAACTTTACATACCTAAATGGCTAAATTTATATTTTTTTTATTAAAAAAACCTTGTTTCCTTTATATATGCAAATCTTTCAGTTTGGAGACCCATTTTCCACAATACATACAGAATTTCAAACTACAGGCCCCCACGACACATAATTTAATCATTATTTCTAGATCAGGAGGAACACTAAAACTTCAAACTTAGAAGCAAAATACTCAATACATTCATGTCAATTGCTCTGTATTTGAAAAAACTAAGTAAAACCAATTAACCATTGATCACCTCAAAATACATTCAAATACTAACAAACTTAGAATTCACAAATTGGACATAATCAAAATTCAAAAGAAAAAAAATTAGGTATATAAAAATTATGATATTCAACTATCAAATTTATAATGCACACACAAATTGGCATGTAAGAAAATGACTAAATTTCTATTTAAAAGATATTAGGGTTATATCCAACCTGGTTAACTGGTGGGATTTCGAGACTTGGAGCCTGGAACGCCCCTTACGACTGAAATCCTGGAAGTCTGGAACGCCGGTTATCGCAGTCGTCACTCGCCTTTGCCAATCACTGTCTACCTAGCCGTCGACCGTCACCGTCCAGGCGTTCCCGGTACCGGCAGTACGGCCAATCGCTCGTCTCCGAACTCCGTCAAGGTCTTGTGCGCAAGAGGGGACGCGAATATGCATAACAACCTACAAACGACTAGAGGTGGCAATAGGATCAACAAGATCTGTTCGGTTCGGATAGGTTAAATTTCTGTTCGGATTTGATTTCGGTTCTATACATTTTTCGATTCGGTTCGGTTTCGAGTCGGTTCAGATACGGTTCGGTTATAAATCGGTTCGGATAGATTTTGGTTCGGATACAATTTGAGTCGGATATATTTTGGTTTCGGGTCTAGTTCGGTTCGGGTATATTTCGGTTTCGGATCAAATATATTTTGGATATATATTATTTTCTAATTAAAATTTAACTATCTCTGTTTCTTTTTATGTTTTATCACATTTATCAATCTATCATCAATTCAATACCTCATATTATTTTACATTTTTTTCTAGTTATATTATCTCTACCCTAAATAATCTTCCCTTTTTGACTTTTTAGTCATATTTTACAAATTTGGACTACAAATTATGAAAACATATACTCCCTACGTCCCATGAAACCTTTCTCCTTTTTTTTATCCGTCCCACAAAACACTTCTCATTTCTATTAAAAAGTCACTTTTACCACTTATTTTTTCATACCCTAACTATCACATCATACCTTTTTACTAATAATCTATCCATCAAATCATACTTTTACCCATCACATCAAAGCACATTTTTGGAAATTCAATACCAGAATACACTCCACTTAAATCCCTCCAAAAAAGCAAAAGTCCCATGTTTCATGGGACGGAGAGAGTATATTTAATTATGATATAAATTTAATATAATTAAATTGATTTTAAAATTTAGTTTTGAAATATCAAATCTTTCTCACATCTACTAATATACTTATGTATATAAATGAAAGAATAAAAGATAAATTCAAATAGTCTTATGTTCCATTTGAATACAATTTGGTAAAAATTGAATAAAATTAGGTGAAATTAAGTGAATTTTATTCAATTGAGTGCAAAATTTGTAAATTATTGAGTATATTTGGTTGAAAATAGAGAAAATTAAATTTAATACAGTCAAATATAATTAATTTTACATCTAAATATAATGGTGTAGATCAAATTTGAAAATGATAACAGCAAAGGCTACCGCTAGAGAGTTTTTTCAAAATGCTAACACTAGCATCTAATTTTATTGACTAATATTGAGTGAATTGGTTTAAAACTAATCAAATTAACTCTTAAATCAATAAAATTTATTGTAATGAGATGAAATTAGGATAAAATCTAGTTATCCCATACAATTCATCATATATTCCTTTCGTTCCAAAAAGAATATCACACTTCACTATTTAAAAATTACGCAAATTTTATTTGTTTGTGTGTTATCATTTATATGTATAACTTATCTTTAAGTTCTACATATAATAAATTTAAGGCATAAAATTTTGTACTTTTTTTCAAGAAGATAATCTATTTTATGAGGGAATGAGCAAGTAATGTAATTAGTTCAAATGGTAAAATAAAAGTAAAAAATTTAAAAATATAATATGCTTATTGAAAGGCAAACATAGTTCTGAATTTATAAATTTTAGTTCTAATCGGGTTCGGATATTATCGATTTCAGATCTAATCGGTTTCGAATTTTATTGGTTTCGGGTATTATTGGGGTCGGATCTAATCGGTTTCGGGTTTAATCGGTTCGGATATTATCGGTTTCGGATCTAATCAGTTTCAGATTTAAATCGGATATGAATTGTTTAGTTCGGTTTCAGTTCGATTCAGATCATTTCGGGTTTTCGGTTATAGATCGGATCTTCATTTTTCGGGTCATTCCGGTTTCGGTTTCGGATATTTCGGTTCTGGTAATCGGTTCCGGTTCTGTTTTGCCAGGTCTACAAACGACCATGTCCGGCATTAGAAACTAAAAACCCAAAAAATTGTTGTTGGTACCCAATTTTGTAGGTTCCATTATTTTTTAAAATAGACTCCGAGGTACTTTAAAATATTTAAAAAAATCACTCCGGGTGTGACAATCCATCAACCTCTCCGTAAAATCTAATTTGCCGTTATTTTTTCATCATCGTGGGCACATCTTTCCATTTTCTTCATCACAATTCGTCTCCTTCTCGAGCCCCCCATCCCTCCCCTTTTCTTCTTTTTTTTGTTTTGAATTCTACGCCATCCCATCCCCTTTTTTTCTTCATTTTCTTTTCTTTCTATTATTATTATTATTATTATTATTATTATTATTATTATGATTTATTATTATTTTTTATTATTATTATCATTATTTATTTTTTATTAGTAAATATTTACTCCTCTAGTTGTTTTAATAAAATAGCACTAAGGCCCCTAAAAAATTTTTGTATGCCCCTATTAACCTTTTCTAATCTTCACTTGCAAAAGAATAATTGCTACTTTTCTAAATAAAAGTCAGTGTTATTTTTACAAAAAAAAATTAGTAAAACAAATTAATTTTTAATAATAATATTAATAATAATAAATAATAAATAAACATAATGATTAACAATAATAATAATATAAGAAGAATATAATAATTAATATGAAGTAATAATAATAAGTATTGCAATTTTTCTTAAAAAAAATAGAGTAGTAAAACTACTAATAAATTTTTTAATAATAATAATAATAATAATATTTAATAACAAATTTATAACACTAATTGTTATTTAGAAAAATAGAACTTATTTTTAAAAAATAACACTTATTATTAAAAAATAACACTTATTATTAGTATTATTATTACTATTATTTATTAAAATAAATAATTAGTAATTTTAATTTTCTAAATTACACATAACGTTTTTACGCAAATGAAAATTAGAAAAGGTTAATGGGGGCGTGCAATTTTTTTAGGGGCCTCAGTATTATTTTCCTAAAATAATTGGAGTAGTAAAACTAATAATAATAATAATAATAATAATAATAATAATAATAATAATAATAATAATAACAACAACAACAACAATAATAAGAAGAATAATAATGATAATAACAAATAATAATATGATAATAAAAGAAGAAAAGAAAAATGAAGAAGCAAAAAAAGGGATGGGATGGGATAGAATTCAAAACAAAAAAAAGTAAAGAAAAAATGAGAGGGGTGGGTGGCTGGAGAAGAAGACGAAAGATATAGAAGCAAATGGAAAGATGGTGGAGATAATGAAGAAAAAGATAACGGTAATTTGGATTTGACGGAGAGATTTACGGATTGTCACTCCGTAGTGATTTTTTGAATATTTTAAGGTACTTCGGAGTATATTTTAAAAAATAATGGGACCTGCGAGTTCTTATCGCAAAACTAGAGGTACCCAACATTAATTTTTTGCTGAAACCCCAAAAATCTTGTAGCATGTAGAGGTGTTCATACGGCCACAGCCCATACCGGGACCTGACAGAAACCAAAATAAGAAATACTCCCTCCGTCCCCTTGTATTTGTCTACATTTGACTTTTGGAACTGTTCATCTAAGCACTTTGACTCTTCAAATTCTCTCAATGTGTAAGCCTAAATATAGTCATTTGTGATCTTGTTTGATTTGTCTTAACATATAGATTGTTAATATATAATTTTTATAATTTTTTAATATACAAATTACAAGATAAAATGGATTAAAGAAGTGCATTGGATGGTGTGTAAAAATGAAAGTGGACAAATACAGGGGGACGGAGGGAGTATTTAGTGGACCAAGGACCGAATCCATTAAGCCTCGTTCCGTTTAACTTATTTTTTCTGTTTTTTTCTTATTCTTATTAAAATCAGATCAGATTAGATCATGACTTAAATAAAATTAACATTTGATATTCATATAGGGAGCATATTTTAGTGTACCTGAAATAACTATGATATCTATGGTGTTATATTAATCATAAAAAAATTTCCGTAGTACAAAGCACACGCTGATTTAATAAAAATACTATCTCTTCTCTATATTGATTATCTAAATTTAATTACTTTTTAATGTATATAAGAAATAAATATTTATTCTAATCTATATATGAACTAATTATTAAAATATTAAATCAATATTCTTATTTCATAAAAAATAATCATAAAATAAAAAATATTATTACATTTTAATATGAATGATTGTTCTAATATATGAATTAACTAATTTTATTTCATTAAAAAATAATCATGAAATAAAAAATATTGATTATATTATAATATGAATTATCATTGCAATTTTTAAAAGTTATTATAAAGTCAAATCTAATGATTGGTTTGAATTTTAAATCAAATCATAATTAATCAGATCAGATCAAATCAGATCTAATCAGATCAGATCAGATCCAATCAGATCAGACCAGATCAAATCAGATCCGATCAGATCCAACCAGATCAGATCAGATCAGAACTACAAAAAATCAGATCAGATCAGAAAAAATAAGTTGAACGAAACGGAGCCTAAGTAAGGACTGGTCAAGAACCAGATTGTTAAAACTTGAACCGGACTGAATAAATGTGATTTTTTTTCTTTTTTTAATTTGATTTTTTATTTTATTTAAAGTATTCAATTTCACAAAAAGTATTTCTACAATAAATTTTGAATGTGTAATTCTAGACATTGTCTTACACCACTATTTTTATTTTTTTTAACAAACTTCAAATAAAATTTATCTTCTATATTCGTCTTACGGAAAACGTGTTTGTAATTTGTTTTATATTAAGAGCATATAATCTTCTTATTATTAAGTTTTTACTTTTTTATATAATTTTTTTGTGTTTTTAGTTTATTTTGATAAGTAGATATTTTTTTATAATGTTTTTATTTGAAAGATTTTTACAATGTTCATTTTTGTTTATTAGAGTTTCGTTATTGATAAAGTACAAATTTAAGTTATAGCATTGATATGTAAATTTAAAATGCATTAGATGCTAATATAAAAGAATTGTTTACTTTTTCACACTTTTGATGGTTACGAAATTATTGGAGCCACGGCTGTTGACTTTAAGAATTTTAAACGAGACCTCAAAGCTTACATTGCCGGGAGGGTTGCACAAATGGTTATCGAAAAGCTTTTTATAAAACATGAAACTTGTTTTGCATTTCACTTTGAGTATGATGTCGATGATAATGACCAAATAACAAGGTTATTCTGGTGTGATCCCGTTGCTAGGAAAAACTATGCCATGTTTGGTGATGTAGTCTCATTTGATGAGACTTATGAGACTAACAAGTATTTTGCTGGTTTTCATAACTTGCTCATGTTTTACGTGCATATTTAATCTCCTTGTTAGCTTACCAATTGTTCCATGTACCAAACTGAGCCTTAATCTAATTGCTTTTTGCTGTGAAATTCATAGTCGTTGCGTGCGCTGCCTAACTTCATATAGATCTGCAATCTTTATTCTAACAAACCCTCTGCAGTTGTTTTTAACAATTCAGTGTTTTAATTTCAGTGAACTGTGTTCTCTAAAGTCTAAAATGGAATGCTATGTGTTCTAACAGTAATTTAGAACAAATTGTTGGCCATGTGTGCCCTACACAAATCCATCACTGGCATAGGATAATAATACAATTATTTTCTTATAAATCTATGAATGTGTGTTGTGGTGCATTCCATTTTTCTGAACAACAATTAAGACTTAACTACAGTTCTATGAAGTGCTACCTTCCATTAAACAAACACAGGTTTTGCTGTTTATTTAACTGTAAATGTGGACTCTTTTAGTGTATAGATAGCAGAATATGGCAAACCGTATTAAGCGTAGTGTGACATTTGGAAGGCTCGATTCCTTTTATGCATTTGTGCATTTGATTTGATAAGATTCTCCCATTATATAGAGACTAAATTTTATGAACACTGCAATTTATCAAATTATGAATATGAACATTACCTTTGTTAGAATCTATAACCATATTCCTTATGAAATTCAACCATCCACAGTTCGACCATTATTTAGTTTCCTCATTGAAAAAAGTGTCGACTTCTTTTGAGATCTTGGGAACCTTAAGAGTACTAAGAAGATTTTTTCAGCTTAGGCCCAAGAAAACCAAAAACATACTCCATAAGTATTTAGCTACCATTATTTTCATATTTCTTGAACTTATTGTCAAGCAGACTATTTGTAAGGAACAACTTGGACATGGGATTTAATAGAATAGATCTCGTGTTTGAAGGATGTATGATTTTCCTCTTTAGTCTTAAAATGTCCTAAAAAATTGACCAAATTTGGAAAGTATTTAAGAAGTATAAAATTAATCTTTGAAAGATCAATGTTGTTTCTTGTTGGTCTTTAAATGGTTGAAAAACGTGACAAATTACATAGAATTTATATTATTTCACATACCTGGTATATGGAACTCTATGTGGTTCAAATTCCGTGGAATGACAACATCTTAATGCTTTTTAAATTGTGGATGATACTGCAGGCTAATAGGATAAGTTGCTGGTGGGTATAGAGAATGGACAAAGTGGAAGAGGTTTGGGTGCTTTACATTCAACATTGTGTAGTTTAAATTTATTACAACAAAATGGAAGATACACAAGATGAAGGATATACTCCTTCCATCCCGTTAGAATCTTTCCACACTGACTTGGCACAGGTTTTAATGTAAGATGTAAAATGTTTTACTTTCCAATTTTGCCCCTACCCCTCTTCCTTCATTCGTCCATTCATCCAGGCCAGTCTACCATCTCCTCTGCCCATTCGTGGCAGACGAATGGAGTAATCCATAGTAAATGAAGGGGGTTGGGGGATAGATCATAGATGAGTTTGTGGGGTAGTAATTAAGATGGGTTTAGTATAAAGTGAAGGGTAAAGTAGTCATTTGAAGTGGGAGGAGTAACCAAATTAGGGAAGTGGAAATATTCAAGAGGGATGACCGAAAATGGAAAGTGGAATGATTCAAAAGGGACGGAGGGAGTAATATAAAATCAACCTGAGAAAAATGAATAATCCAAAAAAATAATCCAACCCAGGCTTATGTGCTGCTCAAGATTGTAGTAATTGAATAGGTAAAATCTAAATAAAAGGAAATAGATACACTTAATGTGGTATAACTAGACAATGGGTTTATGTACATTTTTCTTTTAAATTAGTGGAAACAACTCCATAATAACATGTTCTTTTCGTGTGATCTGATCAAATTTGATTATATTAAGGTTTGATATGATATAATCTAGTCTGATATGATTCTAATTATATTTAAAGCTGTTTTTTATGCAATTTGATCTCTCATTTGATTCCAATAAGAATAAGTAATAAGAATAATTTGAAGAGAACATTTGGCCATTCAATTTTTCATTCTTTGTGGTTGAAATTTCCCTTAGCTTATAAGAATTGCCCACACTCCACACCCTACTCAAACATTTCAAAAGAGAAAGAAATTACACCCAGGCCAGCGCATTGCTTCTTTCATTTGTCCATACATTCTTGTTGCCCTGCCAAACCCTCACAACCAGTCATGACCTCTTTTCTGTTCACTCTTGTTGGTAGTTCTCATCCAATTGTCTTCATACAACGCATGTGGCATTTACAATATACTTAAACTCTAAGATGAGCAATTTTTCGATGATCAAATGAAGTCAATTGTATGCGATCGCCATTTTCGATGCTAATTATGGCGTATGGCGTTCGCAATTGACGCAATTAAGTTGTGGGTCAATTTTTTTCACTGTCCAGACTTCATCCAAGGGAGCAATTAAATTGGGCTTCAGCCCGTTTCTAATTAAAGATCCGCAATTACCTCTTCCCGTAACCCGATCGTCTCTTCCACTCGATTCAGCTGCGAATCTGCTCCCAGTCTTCTATCGCAGCAGCAGGTCGCAGCTACCAGCGGCTATTTCTCAGTCGATTTCCTCCAAGTGGTGTCGGCAGTCAAGTAGGTCACTTTTTAATTCTTATATAGTTTTTTATAATTTGTGTTTTATACTTTTATTTTAAATTTTTGTATTATATTTTCAATTTTGTATTATTCTTTGTGTATTATTCTTCAATTTTTAATTTGTGCATTATATTTTTTAATTTGTCTCTCTATTATATAAGATAAATATGTTTTATTCTTTGAATTTAGCTTAGCTACTTATTGTTTTTGTTTTCCTTTGAGATTTATATATTGTTTAAGACTTTATGATATGCCATGCACAATTTGTTTGTTTGTGTGTGTCTATATGAATGTATGTATGTGTGTGTGTGTATGTATATATATACACACACATATATACATACACACATATATATATATGTATGTATGTATGTATGTATATATGTGTGTGTGTGTGTGTATACATACTCGCTTTTTTTTGTTCGCCATTTGACCGCCCGCCACTCGCCACGCCACTAGCCACAAAAAAGGTCCTCTCGCCCGCCACTCGCCACTCGCCTTTCATAACTATGGTTCCACCACGCCTTTTCAAACATTGGCTTGATGCTACTGACTTCTGCCTCTATCTGCTTTGAGCCCTTTGACCTAAGGATCACTAGCTTCTCTGACTTCCCTGCTTCGACTTTCAGCCTCTCTTTGCTTCTTCGTCTCTCATCCGACCATGCTGCTGGGAGGTTTTTGGCATGTTAGTCAACAACACATGGTTTCTTGGAGTGTGATCGCAAGCTTTTAGTAGTTTTTTCCCTCTTGGAGTTAATTTTTTTCTTGTAGGTTTCTATCCATCTTAAAAAAATGTACTGGAAGCAAGTCAACACTCAAATAATTTAGATGTATTTTTACTAATTTAGAGGTGCTAGTCTACTTGTGCTTTAATATGTGTCTCATGTTTGTGTCTTTGTGATGCACGCGGCGAACATCAATGGCACATTGCGCATTGAGGTTCCATGGGCCCTTTGTGCGTCGGTGCACATCGCACCTTAAACAACTATGACTTCCATCACGTGGTGGCATGTGGTATTTTGCACTGCTCTCAATCGAAGTGCCCTTTTAACCTTTGTGAGATTAACATCTTTGAGGAGGGACCGCGTGCCTACATTGAAAGAGCGCCCATGAGCTATTGTAGTATTGTTGCATGTGGTTTGATATTAACAATGAGGAATGTAAAATCTCGTGAATATGGAAATTTTATGGTTGGCTATATATATATAGCAATTGTGTATGAGTGGGATTCTTATTTTTAAATATTTAGAGTCTGGATTTAATAATCAGCCAAAAGTACTGCATCTTAGATGTCTTGTATTGTGAATGCCTCCATTACTCCTTGAATGTGCACTGTTCCTGAATGGATTGCCTAAATATTGGGCTTGAATAAAATTCTAGCTTCCTTTTTTAGAGTAGGATTTTCGGTTCGAGCCAGGTGACTGGGTTTGGTCCGGGTCAGTATTGCAATTATGTTTTATGCTTGAATTTTTAAACTCATGGATGGGCTTATAGTTGTGTAATCACAGTTTTTGGTTATTAGAGATTACTTTTTTCATTCAATTTATGGACAATCCTCACCTTTTAACTGGAATAACTTGTTTCAGACTTTTCCATTGAGATATTATTTTGGCTTCAGAGCATTGGATTATAACAAAATCAGAGCATACACCGATAATTTAAGCAAAGAGAGAATGATATCCAAGTTCCAATTTGGGACAATGTTCCGAGGATGGAATGGAAAACAAGAGCTCACTGTGAAAATATGGAATAATGATGTTCTGGATCATATGGATGGACATGGAATGATGATGGTAAGTGGTTGCTGGAACATTTTACAATGTATATGTCGACCCCTATGTCCTTGTATAACATATTATTTCCTCTTTCAGGATGAGTTGTTTTTATTTAACAAAGTCGATCTCAAGGGTATACCTAAGATTATTGGCTGCTCTGATGATACAAACAATCCTTGTGCTATTATTTATGATCTTAGTGTGATGGACACACTTCACAATCTCATACCTAGTGGTACCTATACACTTTTCTTCTCACAACCAACACATGTAATCTTTATGTTTCAAATATGTCAATTAAATTTGTGGTTATTCCTTTTGGTTACTCTCCCATGTCACAACTACTGAGTTCACCGTCAAATTTTAAGAGTATCCATTCCTCTTTGTGTTTCCCATTCTTGTTCTCATTAGGACTCATCCGCATATCTGTGTATCTAATGGTTTGTTTGGATGAGGATAGAAAATGAGAGGAAAGAAAATGATGAGAAAATGAAGAGAAAACATTTAGCCATTGATAGAAAATGATATGAAAATGTAGAGAGAAGGGCAATTTTGTAATTTGGAGTATGTTCTCTCCCTAATGTACGATTTTCTCATCCTTGTTGATGAGGAAATTTTTGGTATAGGTCCTGGCCATACCTTTTTTTCTCTTCTCATCTTTTTCGTTCTCAACCAAACATGAAAAATTGTATTGACATCTGTGTTTTATCATATTCCTTTTTTCTTTCCCACCAAATATTTTCTCACCAACAAAACATCGGGTAAGTGTGGGGTTTGGCTGTGATGTTTTGTGAAAAGGGGGAAAATTGTAAAACTAGTTGGTACACTCATGCCAAAAGCATCAATTGTGATGAAGTTATGGGCATGAGCATTTGCCTTTGGGTAGTGAAAAGTCTGACTATGGATTGATCATCATCCTTCTCTCTTTTTTGTAAGGAGTGTGTGTGTGTGTCTAAAATCTCTATTTTTGCTAATGTTTCACGTGTTTCTATTTATGGTTCTTATGGAGCTACATTACAACAAATCTTCCTACCCCCTAACCCCCACCCCCATAATTCCCCAGCCCCCTACACCCCACCCCGGCCCCCTTGTCCACCCCAAATTGCCAATTTGGCAGGGCCACATTGGCGATTAAAGGGTTAGAGGGGTAGGAACCATCAATTTAACCAACAGAGCACTGTAGGTGCTTGTGTCAAAATATGACCCAAAAGAACCTCAAATTTGTTTGTTTGTGTGTGTGTGTGTGTGTGATAAGATACACTTTATTATTGTTATATCATATCATATGCTGATGTTAAAGAATAATTATCATTATAACATTTTCACTTTTTAAAGTGGTTATTGTGGTAATTTTTCGAAGTCTATTTCATTATTTTATTTTCTATTTTAGGTAATTTCTGTTGGCGGGACAGGATCAAAGTGGCTCTTGGAATTGCATTAGCCATCAAGTCTTTTCATTTACTAAAATGGCCCTTTACTATCCGCAATGTTAGTGCTACTCATATAATGTGTGAAAAGGTCAGTACTTTTACTGTGAGTTGTCCTTTTTTTTTTACTTCAAAGTATTTGCCATATTAGTTCTCTACTGTTTCAAAGTTTGTCATAGTATATCATTTACAGGATTTTACTCCATGGTTATGTGATTTTGGTTTGATTAATGGAGGACTTATCAATCCAGTCAGGTATAAGTACGACGAACAAACTGGTTATCCTGGTTACGTTGATCCTTATTTCATAGACACAGGTAATGGTCATTCAGATTCTAATGGTTTCTGTTGTCACTTTTTCTTAAAACTTCCCAAATGACTATTTCTTTTCCTATTAAGGTCTCGCCTATGCTGATCTGGAAATAAACACTTAGGCCCCGTTTGGTACACGGAATTCAAACTATGGAATTGGAATTGAGGACTTCAATTCTAATTTTAGTGTTTGATAGCACAAAAATTATGTAGATTTGGAATTGGTAGTGCAAAAAATGAATTGGAATTGGTGAATTCAGGGTCCGTTTGGTACACGGAATTGATGGAATTGGAATTGAATTGGAACTAAAATTCCATGGGATTCAATTCCATAGAATTGAATTCACCAATTCCAATTCATTTTTTGCACTACCAATTTCAAATCCACATAATTTTTGTGCTACCAAACATAAGAATTAGAATTCAAGTCCTCAATTCCAATTCCATAGTTTGAATTCCGTGTACCAAACGGAATTTCTATGGAATTGAATCCCATGGAATTTTAATTTCAATTCAATTTCAATTCCATCAATTTCGTGTACCAAACGGACTCTTAAGGTTCTTTGATTTGAGTTCACGTCACACACAGTGAATTTTCAGAAATGGTCATAGAATATTACATTAAGAGTCCTTTGTATGGGAATTATTGTGTGGTGATAACTGATAACCAGAGGTTTGAGTTTAAGATGAGGCGATTATCTTAGATCATTGTTGTAGTTTCTCTTTGAGACACTTCTGACAATATATTGATTAGGACAATATATTTCTGCGTAATTAGAAATAGATGGTCCACATTAATGTAATTAGATAATGTCTAAGGATCTGTTTGGTACACGGAATTAGAATTCATTTGGATTTGGTTTTCTATGGAATTGAATTGGATGGAATTTTACGCTACCAGTTCCAATTCATATTTTATGCTACTAATTCCAAATCCACATATTTTTGTGCTACCAAACAACAAAATTGGAACCAAAGTCTCAACTTCTAATTCTATGGCATGAATTCCGTGTACCAAACGGAGCCTTATAGTTTTGCTTGTTGGTTTTTCACATGAGATGAAAAATGAATTTAATCACCGAAGAATGAAAGTTTAAAGTCTTTTTATTCTTTGATAAGAATAAATTATTTTTTTCTAAAATGCCTTTTAATTATTCATGGAACAAGAAGATAACCAATGCACATGCTCGAGATCTTCGTGCTCAATTTGTCTTCTTCATTTAGTTCTTCGCCCTTCTCCCCCATTTCTTTCTAATGTACTATGTTATTAAGTAGGTGCATTATTTGACACATGTTTTTTTAATTAAAAATTTGCATTAATCTTGAGCAAACAGGGAGCTGTTCAGAAAAAACCGATGTCTATGCTTATGGAGTTTTATTGCTCGGTTTGATAACCAAGAGAGTCTTCAATGACGAGAAGGATGAAGATCCCGATTTTCTTCGCAAGTGGGCTGAAAAAGAGTTCAATGGGAAGAGAAAACCTGGCACAAGAAGGCCTACACTTGTTGATCTAAGCTTAAAGTCAGATGTGCATTTTGATCCAAAGGATGGCCATCGAATTACGCTCTTGGCTATGCAATGCATCAAGTATGATCCTGATGGTCGCCCTGAAATGGATGAAGTAGTTCGAACACTTCGGGGTCTATATGTGGTTGAAAATCACATCAATGAATGTGTTCTCATTGAGGCTTTGGAAAGACATTTGCCAAAGGCTTGATGTTATTCAAAGAAAGAAAGACTAAATAGGAGTAGAATATAGAAAAAGAATCTTTCAATTTTATCTCCAAAATAAGACATATCATGTCAATAAAACCCCAACAAATAATACAAAAAATCACTATGAAATATCAATATAATATTGTCACATTCACAAAATAGTAGTTTTATTTTGGAGATGAAAATATGTTACTTTCATTTTGGGTATAAGGGCTACTCGTATATTTTACTCTTATTTTTTGTGCGTTTTTTATTTTATTTCAAAGGCCTTTTCTCATCTGCCTAATTAACGTGTCCGTACTACGTAGTTTATATGTCTTGAACCCAGCTGTTTATAGATTGGCATCGCTTTATAAAATTAATGAGTTTTTGGGATTTCTTGATCCTTTAGGGCATGTTTCCTTCGAGTTATTTTTTCAGTTTATTATTTATTTTTATTAAAATCTGATCAAATAAAATGCATCTTTAATTTTTAAATAGAATTATAATCAGATAAAAATTGGAAAGTCCTTGACAAACCAAAAAAAATAAAAATAAATTTTTGACTAAATACACTTGGCTGGAGTATTTGATTCAAAGAAATTAATGTAATCGTTATATCAAATTAAATTGTCTGACATCAAGCGACTCCAGCCAAATGTATTTAGTTAGCTGTATTCCAAAGTCACTTACTCACAAGTAATGCACTTTGCCTCAACTCCCATATATTTGTCCTGGATTCCTGATTTTTTATTCTCCGGTGTGGGAAAAGGAGTCGCCAAATTTCATGCCCAAACCATATATACTCCCTTTCTTTATGCGAGTTCCAACAATAGACCTTTTCCAAGTCCCATACCCCATGGAAAGCTTCTGACTAGATCAGGTATGCAATATAACCTTTTATACTCATTGATTTATACTTCCAATGAAACACAATGTGAATAATGATTTCTCTATACAAAGCAATACTATAGGAACACTCCATATATATGTACCATAAAATAAATCATTTTTCACTAACATACAACTCTTAAATCTTATCTAGGTTGAAAAGAGCTTTGTGAAACATTAGCAATTGAGGTATAATCACTTGCTTTGAGTGGGAAAGATGGGTTAGCTCCATGGTTTTTTCGTCAACGAAGGGAGGATTCGTCGGCGGGAGCAAATCATCTTTCTTAGCTAGCATTTGTAATACCCTCGACATGGATGGCCGTAGCGAAGCCGCCTCTTGGGTGCACAACAACCCCATGTGGACTACTCTCAACACCTCATCTTCAACATCAATGTTGTGGTAGTTATGCAGCATCAGGTTCGGGTCGAACAGCTCCTCCACTCTCCTTTGTTGAAAATGTGTCCACACCTATGATGCAAGAGTAAAATATATGACCTTGAAACCTCGGGTCATAATATGACCCGAAGCACCTACGGTGCTCCGTTAGTAAAATTAATGGTTCTTACCCTCCTAACCCCCTGCCCCCCTCTTGAATCGACGATTTGGGCAGCCCAAATCGGCGATTCAGGAGGGCAGTGGGGTGCAGGGGTGGGGTGAAGATGCTCGGCCATAATATGACCCGAGGTTTCAAGTTCAAAAGATCTTTGCCCGACCAAGAAACATAAAAATATGTGAATGTTTTTTTGGAAACATAGTCTTTTACCCTTTTTGGGGAAAGAAATAGAGGCTAGAACTCAAAAAAAACAAAGATCGGAGGCTTTTCAACGTACAATATTCACCAAGCTGTCTGTGTACTCGGCGGCTTTGCTCCTGTTATTCTGTCTCGTAGTGACTATTTCCAGCAAAACTACACCGAAGCTATAAACATCGACTTTCTTCAAATAACTGCCCATGTGCAAGATACTCCGGAGCCATATATGCCCTATACAATTATCGAAAAAGAGAGCCAATCCTACTAGATTTCATAGTGTTAGAATATAAAAAGCATTGTTGGGCCTACAACCTAGGTTGCACTGGGACGGGTGCGGGTACATTTATGGGGACGGGGATGAATTCAGGAAACGACATTTTTAAAAATTTTAGGATGCGGGGACGACAAGGATTCGGAAACAAAAAATAATTAAAATATTAAATATAAGCATGCAAATGTTAAAAATAATACTCTACTTAATTAGCATAAAACAATCCAATGATGTACTTAATTAGCATAAAACGTAAAATGGAATACTTGTAATATCAAAACTATCATGTTTGGAATAATAAATAAATAACAAATAAACTTAGTTTTTGAAATCCTCAAATAAAAACATCATTACTTGTCAACACCCTCTGAGGTCAAAGAATTTTCCAACTCTGGTTCATCAAAGGAGAGTTCTGCAAACTCTAAAAATCCGGCATCATCAAAAGAGTCAAATCTGTCACCACCCACATCCCACATCTTCGTCCTTTCTTCTTCATATTGACCAGAACTTCTAGATAAAAGACGTAGATTGTTATGAAAAAAACTAAATCTTCAACACGACTTGGATTTAACCTATTTCTCTTCAACGAATGAATAAAAGAGTATGTACTCCAATTTCGTTCACAACAAGATGAAGATGATGGCTGCCCAAGCATTTTGAATGCTAAAGATTGTAGATGAGGAGCTTCAGCACCGAAGTTAGCCAACCAGTTCCTAGGATCCGAGGTATATCTCATTGAAAGAAATGTTAAATCATCAAAAGGTCCACTCTTCAGTGAAAATTGTGCATATTCTTCAAGAACTTTAGTATGCTCCTTGTCATTCGGAAATAACCTACGAAAGCATTTCATCCTCTCTCTTGAAATTTCAGGATCGCGATGAGGAGCTACTCTATTGGAATCTTCATTCAACCATCCATCGCTATACAACCTTTAAGTTGTAAGATGATATTAAAAGATAAAACATGTCAATAAAAAATAAGGTGTAGTAAAATAATAATAAACTTAAAGAATACCTTGGATTTAACGAGTGAGCTAGACAATGAAGTGGAGTACTACTCTTTGTCCAACGAGCGACCAAAATATCATAAACCACATCATAAAATACACTTTGAACATTTGAGAGGGATGGATGGGTGGCTTTGTTCCTATCATGCCTTAAAGTAATTTTGTACTTTTGTTTTTATATGTATGTATGTTACATACCATTATTATTTTGATGATGATGATGTACATTAAATATACTCCCCTCTCTTTCCCACAAAACATGCGTGAAGAATAAGGAGCAAGAGAGAGGAAATAATTTTGGTTTCCAAAATCATTATTTTGGGGGTAGAAAATCGACACAATATTTTCTTTAAAATATTATTGATATATTTTCTAGTATTTAATATACAAGATTTATATTATCCCTAAAATAATCTTTATATTAAAATATACTATTATAATCTTTACTAGCATAAAGATTATATAGACTCCGGAGATTGTTCGTGTGTCAAAGTTGGAGGCCGGATGCTTGAACGGCTACGTTTGCTCATTCAACGCCTTTCCCTGATTCAACGTCATTACTGCTAACCGGAGAAGGTATATGTTTCTATCTCTAGCTATAGTTTTAGTACGTGTTCTTGGGCTAGTAATCACTATTGGGAGCATAATTTTTTGTATTTCTGTTGCCCTCACAACCGTGGTTACCTTTGAATACAACCTTCAAGTTGTAAGATGACTAGTATCACACCCGTGCGTTGCACGGTTTGTATTAACGTTATAAATTTATGTTGGCATTATTATAAAAGTAAATAAGTACACCATATAATGAAATATGATGTTTTTTGTTTATGTAAAACATTAATATCACATAAATTACAAATTCGAGAAAACTTTTTTATAAACTACATTAGTAGTACTTCTTGTGGAAACATGCTATGCATCGTCAATAAGAATCTTCAAGCTATTACGATTTGTTATTTTTTAAACCGCAACATATGATTGTCCATGACTAAGTACCGGTTTCCGTAATAATAATCTCACATGTTCCTTACACATTTGGTCAAAGTCATCGTCCGCTTCAATAGTTTCATACTTTGAGATAATTGACTTATCCCAAATAAGGTCATACACTCCATAAGAATTATTCCCAACATAATTAGACTAATTCTCGATATCTCCCTTTACGAATACAGTGAATAGAGCACTCTCATGAATTATTCCGATAATCTCCTTTGGAATCTTTCTTGGGTCATCATGTCGTTATATTATTCGTGGATATAAATTATTACATTAAGTCAGCAACAATCTCTTTAAAAATACCAATTAAAAACATTTTATTAGAATTTCAATACCTCGTAGACCAAGGTTTTCATCACGCTACCTTGCAAACCGAAAAGGTTCACACATTTTTTATCCCAAAGTAATAAAAAAGCACTATCTGAGTTGTCTATAACACATACGCTTACCTTGTACCTAATAAACAGAATATATATTTTTATTAAAATTTTAAAATGTTGTAAATTTATTTAATTAAAAAAATATAAATGATATAACATATACACTCCATCTTTGTTAATTCTTTATTTTTTAATCTGTTCCCATAAAAAATAGTTTCTTCTTTCCTTTTTTATTTTGTTTACATTAAAGACACAATCTTGTTTGAAAATAACTTCGTTTGCTTTTTTTAAAAAAGAATAATAATACTAATAATATTATCGGTCTGATATTTTGTTTTTTGTTAATTCTTTTCTTTTTAAAATCTTTTCTCATAAAAAACACGGTTTTAAATCTTTATCATGTCCCTACTTAATCACGATTTTAAATAATAATAAAAAATAATAATAACAATATCATTGGTCCTATATATATTTCATTGCTTGTTAATTTGTTACTTTTTTTAAAACGTTCTCATGAAAAAAAAGGGTTTCTTCTTTCCTTGTTTGTTAATTCTTTACTTTTTAAAAATGTTCCCATAAAAAATACAATTTCTTCTTTCCTTTTTAATTTTGTATACAACGGTGGATTACATATTTATTTTGGTCCGATATTTCCATGTTTGTTGATTCTTTACCTTTTTCTATATTAATGGTACCTAGAGAATAACTTTCCTTATTCAATCTTAAAACACTGGATTATATATCATCCGTAGATCTCATTTTTTTCTAAAAATCAATGGTTAAGATTGCTTTGCATTTGGGCGGGAAAATGTTGGTGCCTTTTTCCCCTGCTTTTAAGAATAGAGTGATATTAAAAGATAAAACATGTCAATAAAAAATAAGGTGTAGTAAAATAATAATAAACTTAAAGAATACCTTGGATTTAACGAGTGAGCTAGACAATGAAGTGGAGTACTACTCTTTGTCCAACGAGCGACCAAAATATCATAAACCACATCATAGAATGTGAAGAAATTCCGTATATTCAATGATCAAGAGGTGTTTACAAGAGGTGAATATATAACGTAGATTCCCGGGGCTATACATGGTAGGAATCATACTACATAAATACAATATTCACAAAAGGAAGCTAGATCACATTATAATATGGAAACTAAATCATAGTATTAATAATATTATATGAAATATAGTAATTATATTTAACATGCTCCGCGCGGTCCGGGAGATGAGGAGCGTATGCCAAGATTGTCTCAGAAATCCACAAATAAGAGAGAGGGAAGCACTTTTGTGAAGATATCTGCAAATTGGGACGAGGATGGAACATGTAAGACGCGAACTTATCCAAGGGACACTTTATCTCTCACAAAATGTATGTCGACTTCGACATGTTTAGTGCGCTAGTGCTGTACTGGATTCGTCGAGAGATACGCTGCACTAATATTGTCACAAAACACAAGTGTAGCACGCTGGAGGGGGTGATGGAGCTCAAGAAGAAGATTCTGTATCCAGCTAGACTCTGCCACTGCATTTGCCACAACACGGTACTCAGCTTCGGTCCTAGAACGAGAGGTGGTGGCCTAGCGCTTGGAGGACTAGGAGACTAAGTTATCCCCCAAGAAAACACAATACCCAGATGTAGACTTCCTGGTGTCTGGACATCTGGCCCAATCGGCATATGCCTGAAGCTGATAAGTCCGAGATTTAGTGAGAGTGATCCCATGGGCGGCTGTTTCGTGAAGATAGTGGAGAACCCGTTTTAAAGCTGTAAGATGGTCGGATCTGGGATCATGAAGATAGAGGCGGAGTTGTTGCACCGCATATGTGATGTCCGAATGAGTGAAGGTCAGATACTGTAGGGCCCCAACCAAGGAGCGATAGAGGGCAGGATCCGTGACCGGTGTACCTGCATTTGCGCTCAACTTGCCTTTTGTATCGACTGGTGTGGAAATAGGCTTGCAGTTTGTCATGTCTGCGCGCTCAAGTATCTCATGAGTGAATTGCGTCAGATGGAGAAAGAGACCTCGAGCGGTACGCTGAACATTCACTCCGAGAAAGAAATGCAGGTCCCCCATGTCTGTCCTAGCAAATTCCCCTTTGATCTTTTGAATGAGCCGGTCAAGTAATGCTGTGCTGGATGCCGTGAGAACAATGTCATCGACAT